TTTTCTTCTTTACTTTCTGGTATATATTATATTTTGTATGTGTGTCCGGCCAAAATTTGACTAACCAATTTGTAAACTGGCAACCCGGCATTTTTAACCTAGTGGTTATTTCGGGTTGCCTGAACCCTAATTTTTAGCAATATTTTATATATTTCTGTATTAATTAATGAAAAAAGGGTAATAAAGAGGATGTTGTTGTTATGAGTTTCATTCGCAAGATTCATTTGTCATGGGAGTCCCAACGCCCGATTCTGGGGCATAAGCTCTCCCAAAATAAATTACTACAAGTTTTGCTTCATATAAATTAGATTTGTCGAGTCAGGTGACTGACCTTGATGGGTTTTTTACATTCTATAATTCATCACAGGCTTTTAAAATGAAGGTCCATTTTCATTACAAACCCTTACCGCATCTGAATACTTCACCATCGGGGCTGTCCTTTTGAAGGAATCTTTGAACTCCTGTAACGGTACGTATTCGCCGCAGGTTACAGATTCCTTGAGATTCTCAGTCTCAAATGTAACCTCAAATTTGTCTAATGTTAATGGACTTAATGGGAAATCATCGCCAAAAGGTTCGCATTTGTTCTGAGAGTAGTGGACAAGCGAAAAGCCCAAAAGCAGAGCGATAAACACCCCACGTTTACAACGCGCCATCTTTGTAACTGATCACGTGATACGATGTCAAAAAAAAAACCCCAAAAAAACAGTACATTCAAACTCGTATCCAGATCTCCTTTGTCGAGGCGCTATCCTCAGTGCGTCGGAGAAATTTGAAAAAACGCAGGCTTTTATTTCTACTGTTACGTTAGGTCTACCGTCCGCACTTATCCGTCACGAAAACGGTGGAATTTGAAAACAGCGGTTTTTCGTTTTCATTTTGGAAAACGAACTTTAGAAAATGATGTCGACACGACAATCTGGTGATTTACCTGCCCGAGCTTTCCTCAAACACAATGCAAATCCGAAATTGCTGTACGTCAAGAGAATAATCTGTTGTGTACATACGATGCTAAAAGTATGGGTTTGAGCCGTTTCCGTCTGAAATAGGGTATACTTTGCACTCTTTTCTGGAATTGGTTAGGTTGTTTATAGGAAACTGACTTTTCTCCATTAAAATCAGGAAATTTGAAGCCCTTCCCAAATATCTACCCAGATGGAATCCTTTCCTGGTTGGCTAAGATCATGTCTTAGAGACAAACAAATGTTTCCAGAGGTCTGAAACTACGGTATCGAAAATCACGTATTTTCGTCTGATATAAAGAAACCCTTAGGGAACCCCTCAGGGGTACGGTGACCAATTTAGGTGGGATTCAGGGATCAGCTTTTTTGTTAAAAAAAAATATCGCGCCCGAAAGCCGAAACGTTTTCACTCCCTTTGTAGCTTTGTAGCTTGCGTTAATATAAATGGAAAATTGTTTTTAGCTCTGTATTTATTATTTTATATGCATACATTTCAATTAATGTTTTTAGTTCAGTAGTAGACCCCACAAGCTTTGTAGCCTTAACTCTTATCACGTCGAAATAAAGGTTTTAGCGGAGCTCCTGCGCGCCGAAGGCGCGCGAACGGAACCCCATACCTTAGAAAATTTGGTAACCCATCGATCTGATAAATTTTGGTTGTCACGTGACGGTCCGTACGTACGTACGTCCGTCCGTACGCTAATATCTTAAAAACTAAGAGATTAACACCATTACCATAGCTACGTCTTTGATTTTGGGCGTCCATTGTATTGTTAATTGACAGTTGTCACAACAAGCTATCCGCTGACCAGTATCACGTGACTATATCGCGGGCTCGAGAGCTCATCGAGGTTGCGTGTTTTTTAAAGTTGACCGTTGACCAGTTACTGGTTTGCCGATTGGATCGTGGGCTCAAGTCACGTTATTTCTCTGGGGGAGAAAGAAGGAGTACTCGCAAAGGCAAAATTTCGGCGCAAATTAACCCCTGGCGCGTTGTTGACTTTTCTGTTGACATATTCCTTGTACAATCGTCTCTTGGAAAGTCCCTGATATATTGCGTACGTAATTTCTCCAATCTTTGTTAGGATTGTTGGGTATAGTTTGTTAAAATTTAACTGGAAAAAATAGCAAAACCACACGATGAACAATTACATGCTCACAAATGATCATTTTTTGAGTTTCTGACCCAAGAAAAAATAATTCTCTTTCCTTTATCGTCAGTTATTGCAATCAGGAGCTCCGCTTTTAGGCTTGGCTAAATCTATATACTATGTTTATGTTTATATATGTTACTCCCCCTGCCCCTTGTCGGAGTAACGAAAGCGTTCACCTAACTTCGAGTTTGATTTTGATTAATTAGTTACAGAGTCTCGAGTTCAACATACGACTCAGACGTCCGCCATTTTAATTAGTACACATCACATACAAACGATGTATATGAGAACTTCAAACATGGCTATCATAGTGTAAATGAGTCTGAGACGACAAGTCACATTGTCCCTATGTCAAAATGAGTTCGCTGATGACAACAACGTTCTGGTATTCCGACCGGAACATATTCATGGCCACTGGCTTGAGCTGAAAATCTTGAATGAAAGCGTCTATGTTAAATCCACACCTGTTAGCAATATGAATTCCATCCACCAGCCTTTCCTTCTGTTCAAACACGAAGAAGTAAAAGCGATGTATTCCTTGCCCTGGCTGAGGGTTGGGCGGATTGTATTCTAAGAAACAAGAGAAACAGATCCCAACTTTAACATGAGCGTTTAGTCTTCTATTCCACACGACTCTTTTCCAAACCTCTTTGTAAGGCTCTGTTGTCTTCTTGTTAGCCAGGGGAAGGGAAAGAGAAGGTGTCTGGGAACTGCGTTGCTCCTTTCTAGCTTTTTCATCGTTTTTTTTACCTTCGCCCCTGAACCGTTGTTTCCGAAGTTGAAGTAAAGCAGTGATAACTGCGAGCAGGCGCCCATTACTAGGAGCGTGCAATTCCCATAATAATTAATTAAGCCTATATCACGGCTTTTTTTACAGACCGGTCTATTTTTAGGCTTCTTTTTCCGCGACATACATGAGCGCGCATCATGATCAGAAAAGAAAAAAATCTTTGTTTTTCTTTTTAATCCCGCGGTGAAATGATGACGTCAGGTAAAAATTATGTCTGTGCTTGTGATTGGTCACTGAAGTTCCAGAGGGGGTCTGAATTCGCGATAATTTCAAACTAAAAATAGATCGCTCCGTGAAAACGCCGTGACAGGAATAAGGGTAGTTGCGCGCTCCTAGTAATGAGCTCCTGCTGCCAGACAATAAACATGCGAAAATCCAACGGGGAACACTCGCTACCTAGCTAGCAAGGGTCACACTTTCTTGCTTTGCTCGCTCTACACCTCCACTTAAGATCTTGTACAAGGTTTCTCGCGGCTCAAAATATATACTGACCTCCGTAGATATTTCCTCCTCGAATCCTGCCAAAGGCCAAATGCTTACCCTAGAAGGTTGAATGGAAGTTTCAGAAGGCATAAGATAAATGTTTGTGATCCAAGTTGATTGGTTCACTGTACTGTTTGTGTCCTTCGTGATTGGCTAGAGTGATTACTTTGCTGTTTATTTTACGACACTCCATTGAAAACCGCTCGAAAAGCTAGTCTAAATCAGAGACGTAGCTTTCCTACTCGAATCTCAAATGTCCTCATTTGGGCGTTCAAAAGCACCAGAAATATTAAGTTCGACCCAACTAAAGAAGAGTGCAACCTGGGCACAAGACTATATAGGTGTAGAGTCTGGTGGTATAAGACACCTCCAAACTGACTAATTATTACTCACCTTGAGTCGACCTCAGATATATGAAACTTCACTAACCTTAACATTGCCGAAAATAAAGTGAACCCAATGGCGACATAGCGGATTGGTAAATGAGGGTGTATCCGGGTCCAACATTGCAACTAGGTACATCGTTTCATTGTCCTGAGATGATAAAAAAAGGTGCTGCAAAGATATAGCTCATTATACTTGACAATCATAAATACATCATAGATTCATAAATCTTTCCTCGTTTCAATTTAAGTGTTTTTGTTTTTCATGCGTCCGAATCATTGCCAAAACAAAATGTCAACATTACACGATTGCAGACTGACAGAGTCTATTTTGCATGTACAAAGTTAAGGGTATTTATGCTTGCAAATATCATGAAACCAGTAAAAATCGGCGGACCACTACATGTACGTCATGCAAATATCAATGGCTTGGGGGAGGGGTGGAAGGCTGACGGCAGGCATAGGTGGGTCCCTGCGCTAGTTTGACAGTAAACATCTGTATACATCTGCGCATGACCGGAAAGTTTCTAACATATTTTCAATGTCATTTAGTAATTCTTTTGACCATCCACTAATGCTATGCATGGAATGTGGTATTGCAAAAGAAGATTACAAGCTAGCCGATTCCCATCCCTTTCAGTGCTGAACAATGTTATAGGTGTATTTATAGTGCGAACCAAGAGAGCGGCCGCCGACGACGACTTCAGGCAGTCGTACACCGCCATAATACTAACCAGTGTGCGTACCTCTGAAAACCTCACTATTGGAATCTCTGTGTTCACCTCATCTATAGATACCACCATACCGCAGTTTCTCGAGTCAAACATCCTCTCGCCAATAAGCACTTCTGCAAAAGGCAGCCTTCTTCCGTCGTAAATAAAATCTTCACAAGGGTCTTCCTCGTTAAAATACCTATCATCAGGAAGTAAAGAGGCCTTCAGGGTCGAAAAAACAGTAAAGGCGACGAGGAGAACACAAAAGGAAGCCATCTTGCCTCAAACCCGACACTATCTTTTGTCTAGGACTAAATATTCACATTTCTCTCGTGCAGGTGCCGTGAGAGAAGGGAGCTGAAGCGACCCTCCACGGCAACGGCAAAGAGAACGCTACCAAACAAAAGGTTTAATGAGCAGAACAACGGCCGTGCACGTGCGTTATAAATCTTTGCACATTTCTTTGTCGTCCTCTGCAAAGCAAGAACGTGAAATGACCAAGTTCTGCGTACTCTGAGGAATGCGAACGACGACAGCTAATTTTTCGTATTTTTATTCTCTATTTTCCAATTGCCCATAATTCATTCTATTTGTTCCCCAAATTTTGCAGAAACTATTGTTGTGAAGTGCTCTGGGCGGGCAATATGCAATGGGCAGTCTATTGGAAAACAGCGAATTTGGAATTTAACGCTGTCATTAATTGCCTATTTAGCTTAAGCAATTTTTATAGCCATTTCCGTACGGAACAGATCGAGGCAATCGCGAAATTCGAAGGCAAAACACAAATTCATTTTTCATTTCCAAGGTGTTGTCTTCGGGGTCGCCGTCGTCATTACTCAAGCTTCCTTGGAACTACGGGAATGCAGCAATTACCACGGTGATTCATTTTAATTTTTTCAGATATAACTGCAGTAACAAAAAATCCATTGTTTGTTGGTGCGTTTCTTTTTAAAAAGGAGAAACCTATCTACAGTTCGTCTGTGAAAATGTGTTTCCTTGTGACAATGCTTCATTTGCTTCAAATTAGCATAGAAGACAACGAGCAGTCCTTCCTGTCCCTTAGTTTGTCGAGTTACAAGATTTGGGAAAATGTTAGAAAAAGGAAAGGAATTAAAATGAAGCGAATGAAGAAATGGCCACAGTCTCGCCCTTGGTTTTTGCAAAACCAGTTTTTCCTGTCACCAGCATGTTTACGCTTCTTGCTCGAAGAACTAAGAAAAAGAAGTATTGCTAGTCTAAAAGTCTACAGTGGACTCTCCAACAGTAAAAATATTTTATGAGGCAAATACAGGCTCGATGAGAGCCCTATTTGTGTAGCCTACTGCGCGCCACTCTCTTAAGTGACGTGTTTATAAAAGAGCGTCCACAAATTCGGTAGGCTCCCATAAATTTTCAGGTCTCGACAAGAAACGGCAAGGCTGTTGCGACTGTCCTCGTTCGTTTTCCATTGCGCTTTTTCCTGGCGGTTCAAACTTCTCTTCTAAGTCGTCCAAGGCTCATCTTAGTCAATTCTCTTCCTCAGAGGCCGTGATCCGCGTCATTTGAAAACGGTGGATTTCTATGGTTAGGCCTACCGTCCACACTAATCCGTCGCGAAAACGGAGCTTTTCGAAAACGCACTTCAAACCGTAGGAACTTGAAAACGCCGGCATTGCGCTTTCGCTTGGAGGGAAAACGTTTTGAAAACGGAACTTTTCGAAAACGATTGCGTCACGGTAATCATGCCATTTCCCTGACCGAGTTTTCCTCAAAAACAAATCCAAAATAAACGGCGATCGCGTTGCGTTTTAAAATTCCTTCGACGTAGTGTGGACGGAAAACATCTGATGCGTTTTCAGAGCGAAACCTCCGTTTTCAAATTCCTCCGGCGTAGTATGGACGGAAAACATCTGATCCGTTTTCAGAGTGCAACCTCCGTTTTCAAATTCCTTCAGCGTAGTGTGGACGGCGCCCAAGAGACTGCATCCTCTGGAAAGAGAGGAATGAATCTGAGTGTATTTTCGAGTGTATAGGTGCATGCTTCTTAGGGAGGGATCAGTTGTACTCGCCTAAAAACATTCAAGGGAACTGCAGATATACATCAATGGCGTTTATTAAAAAAAAATCTTAAAAAATATTATTTGCACGCCGTCAACTTAAAATATATTGGCGCAAGTTAATCAACACTGACTAAATCAGTCAGTAAAATATACAACACTATGATAACTGTATTGACCAAACAAAGTACGAATCTCAGCACTTATCAATATATACAATATTTCCAAAGGGTTACCATGATGGAACCTCCTGCAAAATCATTTGCGAGTGATTTTCGTTACCCGCCAGCAGAACTCCTTTTACACGGCACTCACTAGTACTACTTTACGAAGTCGTTTGAGTCACGCTTGTTAACCGACATTTTGGTGTGTCACGCAAGTTTCTACATTGGGCTTTAATGTATAAATGTATCTACGCCTTTAATGTGGCAACGTACAGACGTCAACAGGGAAGACCGAGACAAACAGTTATGTGTCGTCTTCGATGTACAACGTTGAATTTTAGTCGCATCCCCGACTTATATCTCACAATGGTCATTTCTAACCTCTCGATGCTGTTTTAGTGCTCAAATTCACCAACGGTGTAGTATAGAAACTGCACGAAACTGCGGCGGAGCTTGAAATATTTAACCAAATGTTTCAAGTTCGTCGTTCGCAGTTCGTCTCAGTGTTCGCCAAACTTAACCACCGCTGTTTCTTTTTGGTTACTTCTTCCCAAATCGCTGTCTTCCTACGTTTGAAAACTATTCATTTTGAGACTTCCTTCTGTTTGAAGGTACCGCCTTTTACATCGCAAAAACGACTTGTTATATCTAAACACAACTCCTTAGGCACGACTTGGGGAGCAGTTGAAATTGAAACGTATATTTGGACTAAGGTGTTTAATTCGAAGAACGTTTAACATGCTCGTAGAATGGTATTTTTCACAATCCTTTGGGTGCTTTTGTTAGCAGAGAGGTGCCTAAATTATAAGGTATGTAACACCGAGCGCATTTCTTCAAGGTTCTCACACAGATATCAACGATGTACATATCTTGCAAGCATTTCAGCCTGTGTGACTCACAATGGTTTATCCTGGGCATCGTGGAGGTTCAAAATGTTGGTAATTGGCAGCAATTCACCTTTTTCGTCCCTGTACTTTTCCTCGAACTTCCTTATGTCGCTGCCGCACTCGTATTTGAAAATATCCACAATCTTATTCCAGCGCGAAATCTTACTCCTCTGACTCGCTTTTTGAGCCGGGGTCCATTGGCACAGCGGAGGCATGTCGCCCAGGCCGTTCTCCCACAAATAGATGACGTCGAGTGCCGTCACTTTCTTTGGGAGGATAAATTCGGCGCCCTTTTTGGACGGAGAAGTTCCTTCGCTGTCCATCATTTCCGAGTCACTGCCGATCTCTTTATCTTGGTCTTGATCTTGTAACTGATCGTTTTGTTCGCCATTATCATTGTCTTTTTGTAGGATGCTTGACCCATTAAAACCGGACACGAAACTTTTTGGCAAGTACGATGGCGGCTCATTTTCCAAATCGTATTTAGACAAGATGGCGGATATAGGCAGAAGTTCTCCTTTCGCGTTGGAAAACCTCTCCTCGAACTTCTCCCAACTTCCGCCGCAATCTTTGCGAAAGATATCTACGATTTTCTTCCAGCGGAAAAGTTTCGTTTCGTGTCCTACTTTGTGGATTTTCGGCCATTTGCTCACCGGTGGAAAAAGCTCGCAGCCTTCCTCCCACAGCTGAACCACATCCTTGGCAGTGACTTTGCGTGGGAGCTGATAGATCTCATTCTCGGCCCCTTCTCCCGTTTTCTGACTGGGTACCGCGCCTGAGAACGGACTAGACAAGCTCGACGGTGAATCCCACGCATCGAACATGGCAACTATCGTAGTGACGGGATACAGCTCACCGCGCTCGTCCGAGAATTTCGATTCAAACACACTCATGTCTCCTTTGCAGTGGTATTTGTAGATGTCGTATATTTTGGTCCAGCGCGAAAACTTGCTACGCTGTCCCGCCTTCTGTGCGGGGGTCCACCGATGAAGTGGCGGAAGATCGCCGTAGCCTGCTTCCCACAATCTGATAATGTCCTTGGCTGTGACCTTCCGAGGTAAAACATGGCTACTTCCTTCCCCAGAGCTCGACCCTTCAGTCTTAACCCCACCTCCGCTATTGAAAGTGGCAGCAATGGGCGACCGTTCGCCCGCAAAATTGTCGTCCTGATCGTCACTGGCTGTACTTAAACGGCTTCGAGCTTCGGGGATGTCAAAAATGGGTCCCGTAGTAGCGTTTTCCGCATCATACTTCGCAATGATGGACGAAATTGCCAAGAGATGACCTCGGTCGTTTGCGTACTTGCCATAAAAGGCGTCCCAGCTCCTGTTACAATCCTTGTTAAAGATCTCCACGATTTTACGCCATCGAAATATTTTCGTCTCTTGACCAATTTTCTGAGCGCGTGACCACTGACACACCGGAGGGAATTCCTCGCAGCCTTCCTCCCAGAGGCGAACAATGTCATTTGGCGTTACTTTTCTCGGAAGGTAGTAACGTACTTCAGCCGATGGCTGTGTCACACAGCTGTCCACAACTTTTTCTAGCTTCGATTCAGAGTGAACTACAGCATCCTCTGTATCTTCCGCTTCGGAATCTAGAGATTTGGGTGCCATCGCCTTCCTTGCGTCTTCGTCCAGATCTTGAATGCCGTCTCCACTTGAAGAAGGCACGCCTTCTTCGAGGTCTTGCTTGGTTTTAGCGAGAAAGGCCGGGGTCTGCTGAGTTTCATACAACGATAAAATTGTCGTCACGGGTAGAATTTCGCCCCTAGCGTCAGAGAAGCTCTCTTCAAAACTCTTCATATCACCACCGTAGTCAGCCTTGAAGATGTCCACAAGCTTCTTCCAGCGTGAAATCTTGCTCTGCTGCTTCAGCTTCTGTGTGGGAGTCCAGTCTTTCAAGGGTGGGAACTCGTCACAGCCATGATCCCACAGGTTGAGCACCTCTTTGGCTGACACTCTTCTTGGAAGCTCGTAACTGCGCAGACCGCTCCTTAGTGGTTGCTGTAAGTTGGCAAGCAAAGGCGTCCCGCTTGCAATCGTCGTTCTGGGTGTCACGGAAGGTGTTCCTAGAGGTTCTGTCTTTGGACTGGTGTCAACGAAGGTTTCCTGGGGGATGGTGGGTGCCAGGCGCTGGATGAATGGTCCTCCACTTGCCAGCAAATGGTTCTGGGCTTCCACCAGGTCAGATAGCTTCTTGTAGGACTCCTCTAGGGCGAGATTTCGGTTTTGAAGAACTTTGACCTGCAAGATGGACAACGATATTTGGATATCTCAAATCGTCCCAGTGTGCTTATACATGTAGGTAATATTATCAACTGGCAATTCTATTAAATTTAGTTGAAACGTTACATCATTCAGAAATAATGGAATTAAAAAAACCCTACTGTTATGTTAAATGCTTCTTGTATGACGGGGCATCGTCTGGGCAATTCAAGATATTCAAGTCATCACAAGAATTCTTCAGAAATGGTGATGAACCCAGAATTATAAATTTCACAAACCGTTGGTAGTGCTGTGGTATGTGCTGTCCTAGTAAAGTCTGCATACGAACGAAGTGGCCAATCAGGCTGGAGCTTATCCCAGTTTCTGTAGCATGAAGCTACTACATGTAGGAGTATTTCTACTCTTCCCCGGATGGGATGCTAGTTGATCCCGGTATTGAATTTGCTGGTACTCAGTTATACACGTAGATGGAGAGAGACACTGTGAGAGTAAAGTGTCTCTCCCAAGAACACAACACAGTGTCTCTGGTCAGGACTCAAACCCAGACTGCTCCATCTAGAGATCAGTGCATGAGCCATGACCACACCGCACCTCCCACACTGTGCTGGTACAATAGTTTACACCTGTTCTGATCCTCCCTACCTGTTGTTCCAAATCTTCAAGTTTCTTTTGAAATCGCAAATTGATTTGTTCAGTGGACAACGCCTGAGGAGGTGTCACATTGGTTGTGGGGATCAATCCAAGAGCCATTTGAGGCATTGGTACAGGGCTGCTGCTGGTTACTTGAACATTGTTCAAGGAATCTGAAAATAAAAAAAATGAGAAAAAAAGACTTCAAAGTTGGTTACCTTGTTCTTAAATCCCTGCTACTCAAATGGAAGCCAAACTAAAAAAACATTCTGAAGAAAAATGAAAACCACCCAAACATAAGCTGCTAGTTGAATTACTTTAGGTGTTCTGATTCTTGACTCTCTCAATTAAAGGGGAGGGGAGGGGGAGGGGGGTAACAAGGAGCTACTAAAGCAAGAATACTCTTTTCACAAAGGAAGCTACTTGTATGATGCATAAATCATTCCCTCGCACACCTGATAATGTAGTTTTAAAGATTTTGCTCAGGACAGGGTTTGCCTACCAACCCAGTTGCACATTAAGTACTGTATAATTATTTGAGCATTGCTGTTCTAAGATGTACCACGTTGAGAGCAGAAGAAACTCTTACTATTTTAAAGCACACACCTTCCAATGACTGTGCTACATCATTGCGTGGATCTTCTATTGTTAACTGCTGATAAACAGGTTCTGTTTGCTGATGAACAAGAACGTCATCTTGTGCAGTGTCTGCAAGCTGGAAAGGATTGTCCTCAGGCAGATCAGTGAATATCTGTACTGCCATGCTGTCAATGTCTGGCTTGATCTCGTCACTGATGAATTTGACCCCCGGCTCCACTTCATCTTTTGGAATTTTATTTCTGTCTTGTTCACTGTGTTCAGACTTTCTGTAAAATACAAGTATACAGAGAGAACTGGTTAATTGTTATGTTATAAATGTGGTATGGCAAGGGAGAAGTTTTGGCCCATTACTCTTGGGAAGTCATGGTAGAAAGTGAAGTGAACAGTGGAATGTAGGTTTTTATTTCCCAATTTGAGTGACTGCCCATCCCACATACACTTACAGCTCAATCCAGGCATCCATGAGCATTAAAAGGAACTCCATTCAGAAGCCTTCTTAAGGTGGCCGGACTGTAAATATGACAATGTCAGGGATGCTTGTCAATAATGAACCTTTCATTTAAGGAGCCGAAAAGCCTGTTTTGCTGCCAACTCATAATCATTGTTTTGTAGTATTTGATTAAATATAAACGACCATGCCTATTTTAAGTGTGAAAATATGCACACTGTCAGTTATTTACTAGAAGTGAAGAGTGTTATCCTCCCATCTGGGTCATGTTGATCAAGCTGCCAAATGCCACAGTATTATAAATGTTATATAATTGACAATGTTTTTAGGAGAAAAAAATGAATGGGCAAGCATCAGATGTAAATTTGAAAATAGAGGGATATGATACAAATTGCAGAAAACTTTCACTGAAAGTCCTTAGTTTTGGCTGCTTCCTATGACATGTTTAGACTAATTACAAATGAGATGACTAAGTGATAAATCATACTGTACACTTGATCACCTTTTAAAACTTCCATGTTCAGTTGCAACAATAAGAAAGTCACTGTCAACCTTTGAAAGAGAAAATTTATGATCAAAGCATTTCAACATTAAACAAAAATTAGATTATGAGTTCAAGATTTCTATTGTGTGAGAGTCAATGGGGTGCAGCCTAAGTCAACTATCATGTGTGGTAAGAAATCAAGAGTGAATGATTCTTGTTTAAAGATAAATGTGTTAGTCGCTCAAAACTTTATCTAAATCCTCTTCACAAGCACTTCAAAAACACAAAGAACACCATTAACAACTGCACAATGCTAGGCTACCATAAGCCTGCTACAGCAGAATAATGGTAAGTAGTGTAGCCAATAACAGAATGGCATTCATGATTAAAACGGCTACAACCTTTTTCCTGTATTGATCCTAACACATTGTCTACATTTCTATGCTGGTGTGTATGTCCAGAATGCAATGTATTTACATGTGTATACTTGGTCTGTTACCCGTGTTCACAAGCAACAACAATGTCACACAACGCCACTTGAATTAAAGTCACGCAATCTCCGTCGTGAAATAAGGAAATAACCGTTCAGTAACTGTAGCTTTATATTCTCCAGGATCTGACACGAGAGAAATTTCATTTTTAGGAGCTTTATTAAAAAAAAGTGTCCATCAAATAAGCGTGGCTATATATATCAACATGAGTAACTCCATTACTTTTTGAGTTCAGTACAAGTGCAAGTCTTAGATCGAAAATTCGAACCAACACAACATCGAACATCAAATTAACTCGCTAGAGAAATGAAACTGAACCAATTTATAGCTCACCAATCCCGATTCAGGAATGTTATCTGCACTGTCCGCTATCTTGGAAATGATAGAATGAAGGTTTTCTTCTCTCCTTGAAAGGAATCAAGCAGATTAATTAGCAAAATAGATCTGAACAAGACGAATAATTCCTTCGTTTGTAGCTCCATCGAGGCAGACACTAATCATTCAACCAGCAACACACAGGGCGAGTATCGCCTAAAGAAGCGAGTTATCACTTCTTCACTTTGTGCACATGCTACTTACTCTGTGCGGGCATCCTGGGAACTTTCCATTTTCTCGTTTTTGACGAGAGAAGAAGGAAGGAAAACCCTGCATGCATGCAACTTGAAATGTGAGAATGAAAGAAAAGAAAGGGCGTTGTTTGAGCTTTTGGAGATCTGGGTCGAGGTCACCTGTCACTCAAAATCGAGGCTTCATGAATATCAAGATGGCGGCTGTTTTGGGGGTTGGAAGGTAGACGACACTTGAGACCAGATTTAGGAGCTGTAAACGAAGCACATAAACTCTACAAGATGTCTTTGGCAGCAGCAGATAAGCTGCTTAAGGTTTTTGACGCGTTGAAGAATTTTAGAGAAGGCATTCCAGTGGCAGATCCCAATCCCTTGGCAAAGTAAGGCTTTCTCCATTGATTTGAATATTTTAAGCTTACTCGTTATTTTAAAATGCACATTTTATCGCATTAAATTGAATTTAACAGATGAAAGAGAAGCCAAATGTTTACTGCTTATTTACTTAATCAAATACAGAGATAATATTAACTACTAGCTTTTATATGAGATATCTACAATCCCTTTTCAGGAAGCAGGTGCATGAACTCCAAAACAATCAGGGTAATAAATTGTTGTAAAAATATGGGTACTGCCTCGCCCAGAAATATTACCCCAAGGTTGGGTTTTAAATCACTGAAGAGTGTAATATTATGAATAATAACTCTACAGGAAGTAACAACTCTCAACAAGTTATATCACATTTATTTTATTTGAATATAAATATTTTGCATTAATTTCAAAAACCGTGCTTGCAAAATTACATGTAAATTTTCTTATAGGAAAAAAGAAAGCCTTCTGTCTAAGAAAGATCGAATATCACTTCTAAACAGTATCCCAGAGCTGATATGCTCCTCAGCTATAAGGTGGGTACAGCTAGGAAAGAGTACCATCAAGACTGTTAGCAAAAGCTGTTAAATTCGCTCTTCAGAGTGGAACTTATAGTGCAGATATGATAACTGGTATTTCAAAGTTTGCAAATGACTTTCAGACAATCCCCTCCTCCTGGAGGGTCATCTGGAGATTAATCTCTATATTGTTCACTGTTGTTATGGCCAGCCAGTTTCTCCAAAGTTTAATGACAGCTGTGTATCATCCCTGCTGTTACATGTACTTGGGTTGATGAGATTATCAATAATCAGAGTTAACTGGGAGATCTGCTGTTGGCCAGCAGGTGATTGCCACAGGCATGCGTAGTTGTGTCATTGCTGGGAAGTTTTGCCCTTGAGGTCTTGCTCTGCGTAGCTTTGTCACTTTTGCGTTTGGTTTGCCTCCTCCCACCTGCCTCTTGATTCATGGTGGGCCCTGTGTCCAGGAAAGTATACTTATTCTCCCCTGAGAATTCATTGTGCCAGGTGCCAGGGGGAGGTGACTTGTGGGAGGTTGGTTGCTCTCTATATTTGCATTTTGCACACACTCGCTCGCTTATTGCCCGCTTTGCTGTCAATTGGTACCTACCCTCCATTTGAATATTGCTTATCGAAAAGTTAAATATAATTGAAAGTATTAGCTAGGGTCTAGGGTAAATATATAATTACAGTACTTTTGCAACTTCACTTGTGAAAAAAAAGTACCCTTTGCAAGTGTAATCTTGCTATAAATACATGTAGTACCTTTTGGTATGCTGCTCAATGGAAAAATACTCAACAAAATTCTACAGATTATCTCAAGGCTATTAAAACCTCTTTTCAAAAATTACTTTGTCTTAGTCTTTACTCCAAATGGATATGCACTGTAAACTCAGACTGCTAATTCCAGAAACCTGGTAATTAGTCATGCAGTATCATGATGAATGAAGAGAAGCTACCATTGAATGCAAACTGTGGATCACTGTTTAATATGTATGGTAATAGCTTTCCATCATTCTCATTTGGTGTACATGTATTCATTACATTTTAAGCTCTGTGCTAGGGGATTTGTGAGAAGATTTTGCTTTGCTTTTTTGTTCCATAAGGAGTCTGACAGAATTTCCAAAGATCCTAGCCATAGCAGTGGACTCTTTGTTAGGCAGTTGTGATGACCAGGAGTCAGATGTGCGTTTGGTTGCTGGTGAATCTCTTAACAAACTCATCAAGGTAAGATGTTGTTTTCATTTTCATGAATCTACAGTGTAGCAGAGAGTTTTGATATGAAGTGTTTTGAGCTTTTGATCCAGGTGTAGGGGTGTTTTCTTTATTAATTTGATAAGATCTTAAGTGAGGTCCTTAGTCATGCAATGAGATGTACATGTAGCCTGGAAAAACAAACATTTAGGTATAGACATAGCAATTTTTCTTTGGATAATTCTGTGCAAGGGGGAAAGGCACAATGAAGTTAACCCTATGTGAAGCATTAACCCTTGGACAAGACCAGGCCACAACACCAGGAACTCTGTGTCCTACTCTTTGCCACAAGTGTGTGGGTTCTTTAACACCCTTTGCTAACCATGTAACACTGAAGATGCAGGAGATGGGGCCTATGGTTTGTAGTCCTTATCCAAGAAGACTTGAACGTCTAACCATTTGCAGTAGTTGGTTTTTTAAAGGTTTTTTTTTTTACTTGTTGATTTTGTTACCTTGTTATGGAAATTGTAATAGAGGTTTCATGTTGGGCAGTTGAATTTTGTATTTTGTTGAAATATAGTTGATTTTTATTAATATCTAAATTTGTGACTATATTGAGGGCTGCAGTCAAAATGAATCATTGTAAAATAGTTAAAATGGGTAAAATAGTATAATAAAAACAGATTTAAGCTTTTGACTGCCTAAGCTGCAGTCTGCAACTGGTGAAATGAAGAAATTTTAGAATTATTTTAGAATTTTTAGCACCTTTTCTATCATTTCACCTTTTAAAGACTGGAGTTAAGGCTGTCAAGAGCTTGACTGTGTTTTTAAAATATTTTTAGCCAGAGAATATTTTATGAAATGTTCCAACTATAATATCTAAATTGTTAACAAATAGTTTTAAAACTAATGGAAATAGTTGTTAAAAAGTTATCAGAAGAAAACCGGCAATGTTACAAGGGAATTTCTAGATTAACAACCTTTTCTGTCACTTCCTATTGAAGTCCTAAGGACAATGATTAAAGTGTCTATGAAATAAAAAATAATTCCTGCTTATTTGAAAGGCTTTTCAAAGTAAATGAGAATGGCGTTTTCCTTTTTGGAATATCTTTTTTTTGTTTTAGAGATATTCATGTTTTTGTATGATGCAAATGAGGAAACTGATGACATCATAGGTGGTTCTTCTAAAACAGCACAACACTCGATCAAGAATAAGTCTAGAAATATTAAAGCAGTGTTCTTCAAACTTGGCACCAGCAATGTACATCACAAAAGAAACAGAAGGACACCTACTATGTTGTTGCCATGGCAACACTCTTGGCTCCAGTCTCTTTCTGTGAAAAACCAAATATCCCCGTTTGCAACCTTTTAAAGTGGGACAGAGGGTCTTGCTCGGAACACATATGGTTCCCATATTGTCTTAATTCTCCCCATTAGATTGGTGGGAGTGGATGATCCTTGTTTAAGATAAAATCTGGGAATTTTAGTCTTAATTAAAGCAGAACCAGCGGCATAACTGTTGTCATGGCAGTGGCATGACAGGTGTCATTATTTTTCTTTTGTGATGTACATTTCTTGTGCCAAGTTTAAAGAACACTGCTTTTATATTTCTAGAGTTATTCTCGATTGAGTGTTGTGCTGTTTTAGGGGAACCACTTATGACATCATCACTTTTCTTACAAAAACGTAAATATCTCTGAAACGAAAAAAGATATTCGAGAAATCAGATTCATCAAAATATCTTCTATTCCAATCATGCTGAATTTTTTCGACACAAAAATTAGTGAAAGCAATAAACGTTTTAACATCGTCAGGATGTCATTGTCAAGTTGATGTGTAGGTTAGGTTTTTGCATTATAAATAGATCTTCAATTATGCGCATAAGATGTCAAAACATCGTTTATTGCTTTCACGAATTTTTGTGTTGAAAATATTCCCTGGAGCCTTACTTATTCAATCATGTTGAACTTCTTATTAGTAATTTCTCTTTTCAGGGTTTAATGGATTCTTATCTGGGACGAATACATGTAGAGCTTTACAAGGAAATTAAGAAGGTATGACATTGTGTAGTCCTTAATTTGTCAGCAGTGGCTAAGTGCAGTTTATGAGGTAAATTTTCTAGTAGAGTGAAAGAACTGTAGTATGTAGTTTTAAGAACCTTCAGTGTAGATCACTGATAGACATCTGACCAATGTGCAGACACTCAATCATTTTTTTTTATTATACAATGTATAGGTTTGTCTTTTGTTTCAAGGAAAAATAATGTTATGAATTTTTTCAGAATGGCTCTGCCAGAGGTTTGAGAGCTGCTTTGTCGCGGTTTGGTGACCTGTGCCATTTAATAAGACCACAGAAATGCCGGTAGGGGTGCTACAACAATTATCTAATAATTAATAATGACATGAGTTCATACACTGTATTGTGCCAACCAATGACCCGTGAGTGATTGCATAGACCCTTTTCATAAATGGCTGCCAATTTAAAATTCTTTTGTATGCATTTAAATTAGCGTCACTAAACTCGTTTGGGAGTAAAGATGCTTTTGAATTAGCAACTCAAAACCAAGGTTAGTCAGCCTAATTTTAGTACTCACAAACGAATTTATAATTGGCAGCCATTTATGAAAAGGGTCTATGCAACACTTTAGAATACAACCCAATTTGAAGGAAAAATATTGTAACTGGAAGAAGTAAATCAATTTTTTTTTTCCGAATATTTTTCACTGTTTGCTTGGAGCTCCATTTGAAGCGCTACCAAACCCAAAGTTTTTTTCAGATACATGCACCTTTCCTTGTTTTCCTTTCCATCTTCTCTTAATTGTGGTTAATAATAAATCTCAGCATTATGTACATGTACCACATGGCTGTGTTTTTCTTTTTTGGAATTTTATGATTTTATGTGCTACATGTATAGAGCTGTGCAGTTTTGGTACCTGGGTCAGGGATGCTGGTAGTGGGAAACAAAGCTGACACTTCTACACTGTACTTAATATACTCATAATAAAGGTTTCAAACTAATACTGGGTGTTGATCAGTCTTTAAGCTATTTTGTGCTTATTTCTGTTTGGATCCATAAAGATAATGTTTTGAAAAGGTAACAAATGTAGTTGGAAATGTAGGTTCTTGAAATTGTTTGTGACTGATCAGTGCTAAAATTACTTATTTAAATAATATACATGTAATGTGGTGTAGATTTTCAAGATATTTAACTTGTTTGATTCTGATTTTTATATTTCAGACCATTTATTGCTAATTTGTTACCATGTATAGCTCGTGTAAGTATGCGTACAGAAGATTCAATTCAGGTGAGGAAAAACTGTTAGTTAAAAATGATTTAATTTGGTTTACAAGTGAGCAACTGCCAGATCAGGTTAATTTTGTATGTTGTGCAATGATGCTTATCTTAGACACTTCTGTAGTGATCAGCTAGACAGTCACGTGTAATAAAAAGGGTCAACCATTATACCATAATGTACACTTAATTTTATAGTACCAGGTATAGCAATTGGCCTAACAGTTACTATGTTTGATTCCAGATTTTGGGGGATTTCTACTGTCACATTATTTTTGTCAATGAGTGTAAATTTTACTGGATAAAATTATTGCAATAATTTGCAAAAATTAGGACATCGCCTGTCAGTCTTCAATCGAATCTATCATATGCTGGATCAGAAAAGTCTCACATCATATTTTAATGGCCTTGTCCTACCACACCTAGATTGTGCAGATATTGTCTGGGGTGACCAGCCTGGTCTTACAACACAGATGAAACAATTACAATCTTTTCAAAATCACTTTGCGAAGAAGATCGTTAAGTCGAAAATGTCATCAGCAGAGGCTCTGACGTCTTTGTGGTGGGTGTCTTTACATGCGAGGCGGTTCGGTCATCGGTGTTGTGTTGTGCAAGATGCAATGAAAGGTAGCATCCCCGAACATTTCGGTGTATTCAGAT